ATTTTTAATATTTATTTTATTTTTTAAAAATACAGAATGCAAATGAGAGAAAAAAGTATGATAAGTGGTCATATCAGAATCTCCATGCAAATATATTGGTCCTAAAAATATAGGGGATTCATCTGTTTTATATCTCTTAACTGCTATATGTTTAAAAACTATAGCAGTTAGGTATAGATCACCCAAATTAAATGTTTTATCAACGCCTAATATACAGAAGTCAGATTGGTTTGACAAAAACTTAATAGTTTTAATAATAAAATGAGTATAACAAATTATCGATGGTGTTTTCTCTTTGATGTGAATTATTGATTGGATAAATGGCGAAATATGTAGATCATTAGTAATTTGTAAAATATTATCCGCAAAATTTAGAGGTACTTATGTATCTTTTTTAAGTTTATAATTTAAGTTATAAATTTGTTTTAAATTTTTTGGTTTAATTGGGTCTTTTTGAAATATATAATTATTATAAATATTGCGACATGTTTGATTGTCCTTTATTTGATTTCTAATGTTTGATAATAACTGATTTGAAGTCCGTACATAAGGATTTACAATCTTTTTGGAATTCCCATGGCAAGCGGGACCTAGCCATTGTCCTATATATTCAACTAAATATATATCTTTGAAATCGTAATTAGGCTTTTCAATAAAATTAATTTTTAAAATTCGGCGTTTATACTCTTTACTTCTCTTTAAAATACTATAGTATTTATAAAGAACAATTATATTTTTGGTTAAAGGTTGAGGTTCTATTTTTTTAAAAATTCTAGAACCACCTAGATGAGTGTCCTGCCTAAATAGGCCATCTTTAAAAATATACGGACCTTGAACAATATCATTATATATATTATAATATAATTTTCTTGAACTTGATTTTGAGCCTGTCCATGGCCCACAATCATCTATATATAAATTTTTATTCTTATAATTTGTAAAATTATTATTAGAAATTAAAAAATACATATTATATTTTATACCTAAAGGTATTTCGTGCAATATATTATTGGGAGAAAGCAAAATTTTTATGGATTTTACAATGTTTAAAAAAAACCCATAGTTTGGATGACCTCCTTCGGCTATAATATTGTTTAAAAAAAAAGGTAAAGATTTTAATCGGATATCTTCGCTACATGGTTTTTTTAGAATATTTTCTATCGAAAATGATAAATCTTTTATGATATTGTTGGACAGTTGGGGTTTTTTTGTTAATGTATTAATATAATTATTTGGTATGAGAGATACAAAGTGATTGATTCTAATATTAAATATATCATTTGGACATATGGTAGATGTCCACATGATTAAAATATGAGGCTTTAAACTCTGGCTTACACCCCTGCCATAAAGGATATCGGTAAAAGCCTTTAATGAATTTGATGGGCAAAATACGTGAATTGGTTTGCCAAGAGCAGCGCTTAATGCACATATATGAATTTGCTCAGCCCAAACATTTATATTTAGAGCCGAATCGAGTATCTCATAATACTCATTCACCCATATATTTGGATTAATTTTATAGTTTTGGAAAAAATCAGGATGGTTTTTATCATAATATTGAGGATTCATAATTATTTCTATTGCCGTTATCAGTCTTAAAAAAATATGATGTGTTTGTGTTTTATATAAAGACATTGAAACCGCCCGGTAAAAGCAATTACCATCAGATTCAATTTCCTGCGGAATATAATTTTCTAAGATTGGAGATTGCGCCATTTGTATAATTTTTTCACTTATAGAATCTTTTGATATTTTCTTTAACGTTATTGGTTGTGGCTCTCTTAATTTATTTTTTTCTATTAAGGCCATAGCTGGATCTCTTTTTAATCTGCAAAAAAAGAAAAAATTAATTTTTTTTCAAGTGATGAATCTTGAGTAAATAAAAAGAACGAAGATAACCCTAAATCAAATAAGATTTTTATAAAATGTAACCATATCAAGGTTTTATTAAAAGTGACTAAATAAAATTTCTTGATATCAAATAAAATTGCCAAAATCTTTGATTTCCAATTTGGATGTATGAAAATGTGAGTACTCTGTCTGAACCCTTGTGCGAATATTCAGAGTCGGCACACAACATTGGGTAAAATTAATATTTATATTAATATTTTTTAAAACAATTCAAAAACTACCCTACCAGTCTAATTTCCTAATAGAAACAGCGATTTGTCAAATTTTATTAAATTATGGCCCTACAATGATATTATATAGTTCCATATTGTTTTTTTAAATGATGGTCACCAGAACTCCAAATGATAAATATTTTTACGGTGAATTCTTAAACTAAATATAAGATTAATTTTTAATAAAAAATTTGTACTGTTATTTTAACTAAATTAAGTTTTTTCTGGGCACCGAACCTGAATCCCAACCTGGTTCAGATATTTTTTGCAAATAAACTCGAATACTTTTTTAATAGGGTCACAGCATGTAACAACCTATGTATCTTTATTTGAATAAAAATTAAAACCATAATAAAATAATTGACTATATTTTGTGAATCATTTCATAGATAAAGAAAATATGAAGAGTAAATGAATATTAACCTTAATATAGCATCCTCCATTGTGAATATGAATTCGAAAAAAAATTGATGATATGTAATAAATGAATGATTATATTTTGAAGTGAATTGTGATTGTGAATATGAATTCGAAAAAAAAATTTATGATGTGTAATAAATGATTATTTTGAAGTGAATTGTGATTGATATTATGTTATTTTAATTTTTAACTATTAATACTTTTTGAATCCTTTTGCCGCCTGGCTGGCATCTTAAAATTTGAGTTTTATTTTTTTTAATATTAATAACTTCCTTTTTTTACATATTTTTTTTTCTCATAATAGCATAACTTTCAATTGTATTTCCCTCCCTTTCCTTTTTTTCCCCAAAAGAAATTAAATAATAAAAATAATTTGTTTCCATCTTTTTTTTCAAAAGTTGAAATCATAATTTTTATCTATTTCTATAAAAATCTATCATGTTTTCTTTCCAAGATGTCACAAATCTATACTTTTTATGCTATCTACTAAATTATAAAGTATCAAAGCTACCAACCGATTTATCAATTCTCATATTTTGAGATTGCCCTATATCGCTTAGAATTAAAACAGAAATAATGCTAAAAAAATCCTCAAACGTCGTAAATAAATACTCAACTTTCAGAAAATACTGAATATAATTTTTTAGAAATATTTCCGTTATTTTAGCGGCAGGGTTATTTTTGAAAATTTAAACAAAAATTATTCGGGAATTTTTTTATGGTTTTTTTTTCAAGGATTTATTTTCCCCTATTAATTTAAAACTTAAAAAATGGGTGGATTTGCATCTAGATCCATTTAAAAAGTGTATTTTAACAACTCTGGTGATCATATATATAAAATAATAGTTTGTATAATTCTTTATAAATTTGATAATATATAAAATATTTTTAAATTTAGATTCGGCTCAAACGGCTTATTGAGCCGCACTAGTCTGAGCCGTTTTTTACGACTACGGCTCGAGTTCAGGGTCAATAAAACTCGACTATTTAACAATACTACCCTGAACGGATTCAGAGATTTATCACTGAACTCTCACCCGAACCCATTTTTTTAGAAGGGGGGTTTACAACTCTGATATATATTGATGAAATATATTCGATATTCTAGAAATATTGGATAATTATGATTATCCTATATAATTTCTTAATACAATAAGGCAAAATTTATTAAACGCATTCAAAAATATTATTTTTATATTTTATAATAAAAAAATTAAAAATATTTAATAGAATATGGCGAAATTTATTAAACACATTCAAAAATAATATTTTTATATTTTATAATAAAAAATTAAAAATATTTAATAGAATATGGCGAAATTTATTAAACACATTCAAAAATATTATTTTTAAATTTTATAATAAAAAATTTAAAGACGCCATCTAGCGGATAGAATATTATTTCATTTACTTTAATAAATAAAAAATGTTATGAGCAATTTTAATTTTATAAAAGTATTGAAGCTAAAATATCTAATAGATAATTTTTTACACCTGTCCAAACCTTTATCTTATTTATAAACTAATTAATTCTTAATTAATATTAGGAAAGTGAAAACCCACTGGAAAATGTTTGGAAATTTAATACATAAATATAAGCCGAGCGATATTTAGTAATAAAAAATTTATTATGGGGTGGGTCTATTTATCGCTCGGCTGAAAATTTTGTTAAATTTTTAACTGTAATATATTCTCTAACTGTCAAATATGTCTATAAAAGTGGAATTTTACCTAGTATTTTATAACTAATTCTATATAATAGAGTAAAATATATACGTCTACTTACTTTTTATAAATAAATTTCTTATAATTGTTGGAATAAATTATTACCATGCTCTTATATTAAGGTATATACAATACAAGTAGTTTATTATTTTTTATTTTATACAAACTAATAAAAATATATTTCATATTTGTTCCAGGCTTATATTTTTTATTAAAATTTGTAAAAATATTTTATGACTATATATAGACTAAAGTAACCCTGCCGAAGCCCGGGAAAAAGCAAGCCGCAGGCCCGCCCAAAAGGGGGTCTGGGGGCAAGGGGGTCTGGGGGCAAGGGGGTCTGGGGGCAAGGGGGTCTGGGGGCGAAGCCGCCAGTTATTTCTAATTCCCCTCCCCCTTATGAAAATCCTGTACGCCTATGTATTAATGAATATTTCTTTATATCTAATAATTTAATTTTTATTTATATCATAAGAAAATGAATCTCACTTCAATTAATAGAGTATATAACAAAAAAATTTAACACAGCATTTGCAGTTTAATCAAACCCCCTTTTCGCTTTATCTTAAATTAGTTTTTAAAATAGAAATAGCTGTCATAACGCTGCGTTAAGTAATGCGACGCTTAAAGAAAATTATAAAAAAGAATTTGTTTTTGTAAATATATTTTTAATTTAATTAAATTAATTTTTAAATATTTCATTTAAAAGTTAATATTATTGAAAAAAGCAACCTGTTTGCGTTTTTTTTAAATGGTTGCTTTATTTTGCATGAATACCATTTGAAATGAATTCAGGTTCTCGAAGCATGAAGGCAAGAGATAAATGGTTGAATAGTTGCCGTTGGTTGGAAGTCGAGGGAACAGTCGTTTTTAAAAATTGACCAAGATCGGGTAGTTTGGCAACACTATTTGCACCGAAAAAATGTATATATAGTTTTTTTTAAATTTACAAAGAAAGAAAAGAATTTATGGAATTTGATGTATACATTTTGCCACCACTGGTATTTTTTTACTTTTTAAATTTTTATTCTTTTGTCTAAATATTATAAGGTCATATATACCCAAGCTCGGGTCAATTTCGGACTTAAAATGTCGGGTTGTAAGATGTGTTAGACCTGGAGCCCGATAAATAAATATCTTAAATAATCACATAATATCAATTAAAATAATTTTATTTTTTGCCTAACATATTTCATCATTAAAATGTCAATCAGAATAACATGTCATTTTCAATGTTTATTTGACATAACATCCGTTTACCAAACTAATTTATTAATTATATTTTTATGTTATTATTACATAATTTATTTATATCATATTCTATAAGGTTAATTCAAATATATTTCTCCAATATCTATTTAATTAAATAGCCTCGAATTTCCCATATTTAAATTGGTGGAAGACTTATCAAAACGACTTTCCCAGTTTAGGTGTTTTGGCTCTTAAATTCCTCGGCCAGCCATGAAAGAGCGCTTTCAGCGTCTGATAGGGCTTTTGAAGATAGGAGGACTTGTTTAAAGCCTGACAACCTCGACTCCTCATTATTTATATATCAAAATTTATGTGATACTATATAATGATATTGATAATCTTTATAATATATTCATTATATCATGCACATTATATTTATATAATCGCAATAATTTTTGAATTCGATTGTATTTTAACTTTTTTAATATTTAACCCGAATAAAAGGTATATGCTTCCAATTTAAATATAATCCAACTTAACATAAATATTGATTATATTAGGGCAGTCAATTAAATAAACTTTTATTTAAGGCACATAATTTTTAATTGTTTTTTAGATATTTTTATAATATTCACACACAAATTTTAAAAAAATTTAGTTGGGCTCGAGTCGTGTTGAAAAAAAAGTCGGGCTTGGACAAAATTTTTTTTATTTTTGGGGCTCGGGTCGCGAAAAAATCACTTTACAGCCCTCTAGTTATTGGCGCTACATGCTAATTCATTAACAGTATTTATCGCGTAAATTAAAATATATTATGACATAATAAAATTAGGGCTAATTATATAGTGTGATAGGAATCAAATTCTTTTAAATAAATATGAACTTAGTGGTACATCTCTGTTGTGTGGGATTAGGTAACTGTTAGGATCCTGCAGGTCAATTCTTTTTATTATATTTCGAAACGAATTCGATATTAGATGCGGAGTTCCCTCGAGTACCTAATTTGAGCATGCCGTCTTGAGAGAGTGCTACTTACACCAGTGCTAGAAAAGACAGTGGTCTGTTTCTAAAGATAAACTGAAACCAGATTAATAAATGCGTTTACAAAACCTCGATCCATGCCTGTATTTGTCGGTCCTAAATATATCATTTAAATCAGTATTTATTTGCATTAATATTAACGAAAAAGAGACTTGAATGTAAAAAAAAATAATAAACGGTTTCTTTGGCTCATTTCTATTTGAAAATAAATAAATTTGATTTCATATCATTTATTATTGTGGCTCATATCAGTTTAAAAAAAAATTTTTTTTTAAATTTTTTATTTAAGTTAAAAACTCATATCTTAAATATTTATCTCTAAATCCAAATTCAGAAGGTTTTTTGATATAAACATATAAAACTAACTTTAAAAAGATAACATTTTTTTAGTATATGCAATTAAAAAATAGGTTTAATCATAACTGATAAAGGAACGATTTCTATAAATCTTTGAAACTCCAAAAATAGCAAGAACTTTATTGTCAATCACGATAATTTAATCTAAAATTGGTAACTCTAGAATGATCAATAAAAATAACGTTTTACATGAAAGATATAATAGTATTAAGGTGGTAAGGCTTATTATCGCATCACATTCACACCTAGTTAACGGAAATTTTACTTTTTTTTCTCAGTTAATAATTATTTATAAGATAAACTTTTTTGTTTTAAAATAAAATTTAATATATATAGGGAATTGAATGGTTCTAATTAATTATATTTTTTTTTAAAAAATGTTACATCAAATTTTACCAGCTATTTTAGTGTTACTCTTTTGTGGGACAATACTGGCTCAAAGTATAAAAATATATAATCTTTTCTTTTTTTTCTTTAACATTATATAAATTAATAATATTTTAAAATAATTCAAGCTGTAGCGTAGCTTATAATCTGACCCAAATCTCGAATTTTTTAATCAATTTAATGCTATTCTTTAGCAATAGAATAGTCTATTTATAAATTTCGATTTTTTTCCCCATTTATAATCTATTTTGTTGTTATCTAAAAACCTCGAAAGATTTAGCCAAATTATAATTTCCTTAAGCCTCGATATTTCATCAAATGAGAGATTTGGTGTTTTTTGACAAAATCTGAAACCTATGTAATATTTGTTTGTCTATTTCTTTGATTCAGTCCTTTTTTTATTAAATATATTCTTGGAAGATTGTGAAATAGAATACCAGAGAAGATGTCAAGATTTGTGCCAGCATTTAATTTGTGACATAGCTCCAAATGCGAAATGTATCATGAATGATTGCGGGAGATGCGAAGCGGAATTTTTTATCAATAGGCGAAAAATACATTGTCCTTCATGTAAGTTAACTCTAAAAAATTTCAATTTTTGGAGCCATATTAAATAATTTATATTTCATTTAATTTATATTCTTATCTTGCTATATATTTTTTTAAAAAATACACAAAATGAGATACCACGAAGGATCTCTCTGATGATCCTTTTCCCACTCTCGAACCTTTGGTAATCACGACTCCAGAAATTATAAGAGATGGAGAATGCCCGATCGGAGTGAGACCTGTAAATTGTGTAATGAACCCATGTATCAGGGCCACTTGTCCAAAACACCCGAACGCTAGATGCCGAGTCAACAATTGTGGTAGATGCATAGCCGAATTTGTTGACGCTAACAACGTTAAATTAGATTGTCGCAAGAGTAAAAATATATATTTGATGACATTTTTTTCAAGTTGAGCGAATTTGAGTGCTACAATCACAACATTATATTTAACTTACCGTTTAAGATTTATCTTGGTAAATTGAAATCATTATTATCATAAAATAAACATTCTTTTAAACTTAAAAGAAAGCAAATTTTATAAAAAAAAATAACAAAATACTTTTTTAAAAATAGGAACACATACAAGATGTGCAAACCTGAATTGCATAAAGGAATGTCCATTTGGCCGGGTGAAAGATGCGCATGGATGTGAAACTTGCAACTGCATCAACGCGAGTAATATTTATCTTTCATTATCATTTTTAGAGGAGATTATAAAATACAATAAGTAAGTGACATCGAATCGACAGGGAAGGATAAAAACCTGCTCAATTGGCCTAAACTTTATTTGATCAATGTCTAAATATTATCACAGACTCTTTTAAGCTAACTACTGAAATAAGGTCAATAAATACAGATAATATTATTTTTATTTATTTAATTTAAAAAATATATTTTTTTTATTTAAAAAAAAGGATTTTAGATTCTGAATGCCCTTACTCATCTTAATCATTTGTTCTGTACATTTTAATCAAAATTCATTTTAATATTTGATTTTAATTTACAAAAAATATGAATATATTTATAAATATAATAACATATTTTTTTTATTATGCTACACATGAAAATAAAATTTAAAATAGAGTACTTTAAAAATATTTTGTTTATTTTAAAAATTAATATAATTATCGTTTATGTCTTATGCGTCTCGTTAGTAATTGAGCATTTACCAAGTTTTATAATTGTTGCTGAAATAATGCATAAGGGTGAGGCGAAATATTTTATCCGAGTTTTAAATATCTAGTCTTTCAGGTCCACAAGAATAGAATTTAAGCAGTTTGCGATGAACTCTGAATAATTAGTTTTTTAAAAAAAATTTTTTATGGAGACTAATATAAAATTAGTCAATCACGTGACAAATAAAACAATAAGGTAGCCAATCATAAACTGTCAGATTTTAAATAAGATATTAACTATTAAAAATAGAAGTTCTTAATTTTTTTTAAGTGTCTTTATTTTCCTATAAGGAATAACTAGACGAAAATAAATTATAAAACACATAAAGCACATATAGATTTTTTGTAATAATTATAAGTAAATGAATATTTAGTTTTTTAAAAACTTGTAAGCTAAAGATGGACACTGGATTAACTCTCCGTCACAGTTCCAACTGGAGGTGGGAGTCGATTTATCATCACTGACTTTGATTCGAGACTGGATAAGTTTTATTACCCGAGAGAGATCCTTTGGAATACTTTTTTTGTTAGTAATGGCTTCACTTATAGTAGCTTTGAGATCGGGTTCGGTTTTTTTAAAAGCGTATTTGTTGCTGTTGAAACTAAAATTATCGTAAATGTTAGGGTGGCATTGACGTGTTACATTTTCTTCAAAACGACTATCATTCACGGATTCAAGTAAATGTGTTACATCGCAAATATCGACAGAATTTTCGATTAAAGCGGGAAAGAGGATTAGGTTGTTGATTCGATAAACTTCAACATAGGGTAAGTCAAACTTTAATGTGCGTGTTTTGGTGGGGGGGGGGGAAATCAAAAGAAAATATTATCGTAATAAATTATTGGTTTGCATTCACTACTTCGTTATTTTAAAATCAAATACTATACATTAGTGAAGGTTAAAATCCAGTTCGAACATAAAGACTGTAATATACCAATTTTTAAAAAAAACAATAAATATTTTATAAAATTTAATTTATGAGATTTCATAATATTTTAAAGCGATTAATTCGTAATATATTAATTTATAACACGTTTACTCCTAGCCTTATGACATTTTTCTTTTAAATTTTTTTAAATTTTCCAAGAGAGCATTTAAAAAAATAAATGACTTGTATTTTAAACAGGAGATTACGCTATAATAATGCAAATAGAGGATTATTATTCCAAATTATATTTTAATATTTTTGTTGTTGATATGGAAGAATTGATTTATCGGAAAAAAATGTGGATATAGAATAAGCCAAAGATTTATATAAATAACTAATTATTATAGAAAATTTTTTTTCTTACAACGAAAATAAATGAGAGAGATTAACTATTTTATTTATTTTTTATTAAAGACTGGGTAAAGACAAAAGACCTAAAGTATTTAAACTTGAGCAAAATTGTGTAACACACTTATTCGCTTAATAATGGTTGTACAATCATTAAAATATTTATAAGCATATTTATATTACCCGAGTTTATATTTAATTTAAAAATAAATTTAGTATTTTTGTTTTAAAAAAACGGCTTAATAAAAATATAGCGAAAAAAGATATTACCTATTATCCCAGAGTAGTGTTGTTAAACTCGATTTAACCAATTTTCAAAAGCGGCTAGACTTTAGCCAAAAAAAATATTACCCAAGCCTGGATATTTTGCTCAGAGTTGGTAGACAAATTCGAACTATTGCGGAAATCTCGAAGCTAGATATTATTTAGGATAAAATCTTAACTTGGCAGTTTTTAAAAATTGGCTATATCGAGCCATTCAACGACACTAGCTTAGAGATTTTACTAAAAGAGGGTTATAAAAATCTCTAGGTTTCGACAATTATTTTTTGGCTAAAATCGTGACTTTGCCAAGAGATATTTAACCCATCCAGACTTTATATATAAGTTTAATAATAATAGGATATTAAAAATAAATCACTTATTAAAACGAACCGGGTTTTTATGGTGCTTCACGACTCTCAATAGATACTTCAAAAAGTCTATCCTCGAACGACAGCGTGAATTGGCGTGAGAGGGCTTAACAAGTATCAGGTCCGCGAGGCCATTACTCATATGAGCTAAAGGCGAGACTCCTAATCTCGTCCTAAAACAACGGCCACTGATGGGCATTATTATCACAGAATCGTATAGACCCGATTTCACAATTAAACTTTATTTATTTTTAAAACAAAATTTAAAAAATAATATCAAGATATCTAGCATAATTTTTTTTTACCAGATATTATTTACACATATTGCTATCGCTTCGAATTTAACGCATAAAATGTCTCCATAAATTTTTTTTTTTAAATTTCATCGCTTCAAAAATGAATGCGTTAAAATAGATTCCTTCTACGCGGGTTTGGATGTAGCTATTTTTATAGAAAATCTATTTATTTCGATTCGTTCTAAGTACGCACAAATTTAGCTTTTTAAATAATGCATTTCAAATGGTATCTTGCAATTGGTCTTTGGCGTTAAAAACAAGTGGTCTACAATATAACATCCGAAAAATTGTTTTATGAGCAGGGCAAAAAATAGTGATACACTGCTTAAATAGAGATGAGAATAAAAAAAATTATTCTAAAGGCTAATTTAGTTAAATTAATATTTTTTATTGGCTTATAATATTAATGATGACAAATTATTATTATAAATTTTTTTAAATTTTAATTTTATCTCAAAGCAAGGTCAAATTATTGTTGGCAAAAATAGGACATTGATGAATTCTGATATTTTATAGAAATGATAATCCATAAAGTTATATGCTTCTAATTAAACTATTCCCCAATATTATAAATGGTTGTTTATTTTAATTCCCACCAGGCAGGACAATTTTGCCATTTGCAGAAAACAGTTAGGAACTATTTTAAAAACGTAAACTAGTTTTTCAATAATTTATTATTCATTCATTTTGCATGTTGGTCTATGACCAGTTCTTTAAAAATTAAGTTGTTTTTTTCGCAAGAAAAACAACGTTATCTAGAGAAGAATAATAAGGGGGAGGAAAATAAAAATCCCTTTCTAGTTTTGTTTAATTATAGGTATATTTAATTTAATATTATTAAAATATAAAAAACAATAATGAAAGAAAAAGGCAGACGAATATATATTACGAAAAACCAATTTATTTATAACTTACTTAAAATTTTGAATTGACGATGCTAAAAAATTGGCAACCTCAACTTAAACAAGGGATGCGTTACGTTTTTATAAGGCAAAGCGCAAAAGCTCAATTTGTGCGCACTACAAGATAAATTTATTTCTGAATAGTACACCCGGTTGGAATGAAAAGGCTCGCTTTAATATTATTTATAGACTTCAGAGAAAAGGGAGACATGGGATCAACCAGAACTCTTTTCAGTTCAGGTTCCGAACATCTGAAATAAGCTAGGTTTGTGGAGTAGTCCTGCAAGTTGGACCGAACCCTATTTTATGTATCAAAGTCGGGCAGGATAGGACTCGGGCTTAAAAGAAAATTATTATTATTTCTTCTTTTTTTTGGGGGGGGGGGGGGGGGGGGTGGGGGTGGGTGGGTAATTTTTGTTTGAAATTTAACTTTATAAAAATGTATTTAATTTATATTTATCAATTATGGGGGCATGCTAGGCCACAAAAAGTGAATCTCAGGGTTCTAGTGTGATGGTAACTGCTAATTTATTTGGCAACTTATAATAAGGTTAACTACTCGTAATAAATTTGGTCGTGTTCGGCTTCGGACTCGATTCGTGTAAATGAATCGAGTTTATTTCCGGCGTTACATATATTGCAAGGTGTTACGCATAAATCCTCCCCTCTATGAGACATAAAGGTGTCCTTGTAAGCGGTCTTTATTTTTGCCGATAAGTGACCAGGCGTAAGGGGATTAGGGTGGCCGGTTATGTGGACCGGTCCTGTTACACCTTTAAAAATAAGTGTGCAGGGATATGCCAGATTGGAGCAAAGAATAATCTTTGCAGCAGCTAGATTGTACCGACCGGGACCTTTGGTAAGGAATGAGAACGCGGGTTTGATTAGGGCGTTTAATTTACGGGATATTTTAATTTTATTTTCGGGTAAAGTATCGATTCCGCTTGCGATCCCTTCGCTTATTTTATTTTGTCCTTCGAGTGAGCTCGAATTATTTTTAGGGCTTGTCCGATTTTTTTGGTTATTAACATTCATGATTCCATTAATAATATCCGTTTTGTTTTCGTTAGCTTGTTCGGAATTACTTTGAAATACCGCCAGAATGTCTCCTAAAAAGCCGTAAGCCAACAGTGACAAGAAATAACTACGTCTATTATTCGTAAAACAGCTTTCCTCGAACGGCCGGTCGGCGTTGTTTAGCTTTGCGGGTATCGAGGAAGAGAACTTTGATAAGGAAGTGTGATGTACCATACCCACATCGAAGTGCAGGATCTGACCGATTGCTATATGGAGAGCGGCGGTGATAGGATCTGAGCAGCCGTAGAGGCTGAAAGCGGTGGCATTGGTTGATCCTTATTTATCAAATTATTACCAAGGGATAAAAAATTGATAAATGTAATGATAATAAAACAAGTGATTCACATACGAATAATAAAACAAGGTTTATAATTTATAATATATTTGTCAGATAATTTTAGGATTTTATTTATTTAAGTATTAAATTTTGGGGTAAGAATAATTTCATTAATTTTTCAATTTTGACATTTCAAATATTTTTTCATCCAAACTAGTGTTATTAAACGGCTAGATTTAGCCGATTTTAAATTAAGATTTTAGCCAAAATAATATTACATAAGACTCGAGATTTGTTAATAGATACTAAACCTTTCTGCCACTTGTGAGCAAAATCTCCAGATTTGCATAATATTTATTGGCGAAAATATTGGGTTAGCCGTTTTAAAAATCAAGCTGTTAACAACATTATTCTAAACCCTCTTTTTGTTTATTTAATTAACAGCAGTTGACATCGGTCGAGAGTTTATGAATACCCCAGGTCGATATCGAGAAAATTTATTATTTTCCTATAGTTCTTTAACTATACATAGAAAAATCGACATTGTATTTTAAACAATAATTTGTATTTCTTGTTTTAAAAAATTATTTCCGCCTATATTTTAAAAAAAATTAAAGTTCCGCATGGCATATGTCCGAGGAAAGAGATGACGATTGGCATAAAAACATAATTAGTTAATTTAGAGTATTTATTATGATAAAATTCTGAAAAAAATAATTTGGAGCAGGCGGGATTCGAACATGGGAAGACATGAGATACAAACTATTACACCCCTGCCCCGTTTAGTTTTAAAGAAAATCTTTTTAAAATTTATATTAATTTGCTTTGCTGCTTTTTTATAAAAAATAATAAAAACTACATATAAAATAAATTTTCTTATAAGTATCGGTAATATTGACGGATACTTTGTAAATGTATTCGTATCTGCTTAAAGCAAGTGGTATCAATGAACCCCTGATTCATACAACATATGATAATAATGAGTGATTATAGTACCTGTTGGTATTATCCCGATTTTAAATGGCGGAGAACTCAATACGACATTGGAATCTGTTATATCGATGCCCATATCTTCGTTATGCCTATCTATCAAAGCTACATTTAAAAAAATGATTATAAATAATACTTTTATTTTCCAGAGTTTGAAAAAAATTTTTTGAAGAAGAAAGATATATGATCCAAATCACCTAAAAGTGCTAAAATCTTTTTTAAAAAAAATCAAAACCGGAAATTATTTCGTTCAACGTTCCGTCTCCGCCTACAACTATGATACCCTGGTATGAATTTAAATTTTTATTCGTCATTTCGTATCTCAAAAGATTAAAGGCGTGGCCCGAATGTTGCGTCAAATGGACATCTGTGGCTATTTTAACGTCCCTAAAGATTGGGCAAAGGAGCGTGTCGAATATTTTGCGAGCTTCCCCTTTGCCACCGATGGGATTCATTATAGTCAAATATTTCAATGGATCTTGCGTGGGCGAAGACAATGCTCTTAAATAGTTCAGGGTTTGGGAAAGGTGGCCGTTTAATTCGAGATCCTGGTTAAAATTGCAAATTAACTCTCGGGCCATATCGCCGAATATTTCGACGTCAATTATCTTGCTCAACTTGATGAGACATTTTACGAGCAGATAAATCGTTGGGCGAAATAAATTATCCCTCGAATTGATAGGTGCCTCATCGACGAAGTAAAGATCAAGAGGATCGCTCAATCTCCAGACCCAGTTTTTAGGGTGCAATAGACTATCGATATTACTCGTTTTTTTATTATTTTGGCCAAACTTTCTGACAACGAATTTCAACTTCAATCCCTTAATAAAATGGTCCTCTGAATCCTCGATATTCGCATTCGGATCATAGTCTGTGGATGTTTTTACTTCCGCAACGGCATCGCGGTTTTGTGTGATGGTATCATCCGTGTGGGATAAGGTTTCGCAGATTAAAATTTTTTTGTAAGGTATAACAAACAAGTTTCTCCATTTATCGTCGCATTCTTATAAAAAAAATATCATTTAAAAAAGAATAGAAGTGTAAAACCCAGAAATTCATAAAATAAGTCACAGAACTTAAAGTGAGGACATTTTGAAAGTTATATCAATATTTAATAAAATACAAATTTATTTTAATTATTATGCAATGTATGGATAGAACCTTCCGACCCCGGGACTCTTTCTTTTCTAACACGTACCAAACCTAAACTCGAAATTATGTAAGTTATAACCTTTTGTTTGTTGAACATGTTGCAGGTCGGGTTCAGGCATTTTACAAATAATTTATTCAAAACAATAGTAAAAAAATATTTGGTTACGCCCAAACTTGATTTTGTTCCATTACTACCTTTTATATTGGCATCTTTGGCTGAGGTGTGAAGGAGGGAGCGGGGTATGAGTGGTGGAAAGAAGAATTTATGATATACTTTTGGGGTTAGAAAGTAAATATTTTGACCTGGAAGCGCACTTAATGTAAGTGGCTATCATCGATCGGGAGTAAGGAGCATTGGGACGAATAGAGGAGAGAGTGCGGGGGAATCCCTTTTGGCTAGAATTCCGAGTATGTTTTCGATGTGGATTATTTGCGAAGATAAGGTCTGCAACACTAAACACACCTCTACCACTCGCCAACAAACCTAGGATAGGACGAACAGCATACTTAGGATAACCTTAGGGCATAGAAAAGACACGGGACCGAACAGCGGTGAGAGTACGTCCAGTCAGCTGTCTGCAATGCTGCCGCAGGCTACTAAACCCAACGACAAATTTCATCTATCCTTGAGAAAGACATCCATCTCCTCCTCCAATATGGCAAATTAACAAGCTCACCTGCATTCCCCGATCAGCTTGGCCAAAGGCACAACGGACGTCTAGATTATTCTGTCATTCATTCACTTTTTATCCGACTAGCCGATGTAGCGGTAACTGACCAAAGCGCAGATGGCCTCATGACCAGATATATCGTTGGTTTATTCCGCATCTCTTCCGGCTCTGAGGTGATAACCGGTGTGTTGTCCGTCCCATCAAAAGTCGTCGGCGAGTAGAGGTCTCCATGCCATTGAGACCGCAAACGCCATAAAAGACCTAGTACTCCACATTGGAAACAGGTTAGTAAATTTGCCAGATGTGACAATAGGAATTATATAAAAAAATACTATTTTTTTATTTTAATGTAATAATTAGTCAGGTATCAAGCGCTAAGCCTAGTGGCAACTCATTAATTTGTCGTCTGAGGTGTCATAATATGAAAATAATTCGATATGTTGCTTAACCTTTGAAAAGATTTGTGAAATTCATACGGACCCTATTTTAAAAAAAACGTTATTACTTAAAATCCTTTGAGTAAGATGGTCTGGATTTTTCAGCAGCATAATAAAAAACAACATGTATGCAAAATTTAAAATACCTTTGATGAGTTTTTTGAGATATCAAGGATTTTTAATATATTTTTATCAGCTTAAATATTTTAAATGCTATAATTTCTATTATAAATGGAAATGTCTGGCTAAAAATCGTGCTTATTAATGATAAAAATAAAGATTATTATTTAATTTAAAATAGTTTTTTAACCAGTGATAAAAATGGCGTACCAATTTAAAATGAATATAACTCCATTTCCATTCATTATTTTAATTATATATTTTAATATAAGGAACTAACCTTAAACTATATAAAATATTTATTTATATTAATATATAAGGTTTAGATAAAAAATGTTGAAGATATATGTGCCAAAATTTTCTAAATTAGGGCAAATTTTTTAAACTCTTATTAAGCACAAAAAAAAAGCTGGATATTAAAACCAAAAACATACAAATTTATTATTTATTCATCAAAATAAAATGGAAATATAAAAAATAATTCTTATCTAAAGTTTAAAAAAATAATAAAATAAACACTCTAGTGGGGTTTCACAGGCCCCAATTAGTCTCGAAATTCTTATATCTTATGAACTACTCATTAAAACAATCAAACTAGTCTAATTTAGACTCTTGACAATTCGCGCAACTCCGAAAATGTTTTGATAAATTGGGCAACTGCCTACTTTAAAAAATGGGCAGATTTTTAATTTTTTGTCATTTGTGAAAGTATAAAGTAGCATTTGTTGTTTTTTGTAGTATCCATTCATAATGTAGAGATTATGGTCCAGTTGAAGATGCATATCTGATGAATACCGAGATTTCCATTGATTTTTATAGTTTTATATATTTATAGAATGCACCTCTTGCATTTTATCCTAATTTTTATTTCCTCTGTGCAGATGTCATTATTGTATAAGCTGTTATGTTGGTTATTTTAGTAAATTATATTTGGTTCAATACCACATTCTGACAGTGTTTCCCACGAAGCGATATGCTTAACGTCATCGAATACCCGTTTAAAATCAATGAAGTAGAAAAGTAGCTTGCATTTGTTTTGGATAATTATTTTTAAGACTAGTATTGGCTCTAATGTGTTTTTTTCTGGCCTAAACACGCATAAATATTTTGGAAAAAGGTGGAGTGTCGATGAGAGAATTTTGTTTTTTTTAAATAGAAGCATAAAACTTTTGGAGACGCAAGATGTTAAAGCTACGGCACGGTAAGCTATCTTTCATTACCTTAAAAAACGAGTTATCTCAGGATGAATTAATTGCAATATGCTTAGATCATTACATGATAATCTTTGACTTTAGAAAGGCAACTCTACCGATATACACAAACTCTACCCCTAACCCATGTTTCTCTATAGATGAAATAACCAAAGTCATTAAGAAACTAAGGAAAAACAAGGCCCTTTAAAAATCTCATTGTTATAATTAGGGTCATTTTTCTTTATTTTGTTGTATATTTTTATATCTTTATTATGTTTTTTTACGCGTAATAATATGGATGTGTAACAATGGCGCATGTATTTTACTTTGGATTATATAATATGTCTCAGGATAGGTCCTATTTTATTTTGGAGAATTATTTATTATTTATTTTATTGTATGATATAAAAGGGCCAATTTTTCCAATATTGTATTGCATCATTACTAATTCATTTTTTCCATTTTATTTTAATAATAAAATTATTCTTTTACCTGAATAAAATTAATTTTGAGTTATTAGTTCTTATTCCTACTGCGAACAACCAATGCGCACCAGTTACAATATCTTCCTTTTTATTAGCCGTCTTTAATAAAATATGACAAAGCGGGAAAGCTCCCTTGGAATGGAACACATCCTTCTTTTCCCTAATAGTTGTTAAAGTATCTAGATATAAAATGTGGTATCTGTATGTACATAGATTTTTATTTAAAGTATCTGTATCTAGATATTATTTTAGAGGTATCTGTATCTGTTTTTAGATTCTTTTTAAGATAATTTTGATATACTTTTATTTAACGCTTTTTTACATTATAAATAAAAATACTTGAATGCAAAGTTTATTTTATTTCATATGAGCATATAGTTTAAATATATATTAAAAAATATTAAGACTACTATAATAAAAAATTATATATATATAAAATATTAAAACTTATATATAAAAAAAATATATATATAAATATTCATTAAATATTATGTACGAGTTTATCAATAAACCAGACAAATTTTGATATTACAATCCATCTCAAAGAATCTGCCATTTTTATTTTCAATGGAATTGTTCAATTTAATTTTATTATACAATTTTAAAAATTTATTTTAGATTAATATAAATAGTCATGATGAGGAAGAAATAATGAAGAATCAACAGTTCAGACATTTTTTTTCCATGGCCACTTTATAGAGCATATTTAAAATAATATCTAGAAATAAAGAAAACAAATCTCTGATAGTAAAATGTTTGCCATGTCTACCAAATAATACGAAAATTTCAGTTAGCATATTGTAAAATTTAAGGATATAGATGCTAAATAAATGTTTACAATTGTAATTTTAAATTTTAAGAGAAAATATCAAACACTGTTAATGAAAAAAATAATTAATACAAAGATTAGTTAATGAATTATCAAGGTCTTCAAGTTCAACTGATTGCAAACAAATAACCTGTGAAAAAAAATAATTTAATATCCGATTTTTTACAATACCCCACATCAGCAGATATGATAATAATTTTCCAAAAATGAAAGTCAAGATTTTAGTATTTTTAAAGAATATCCTCATATAAAATTGTTATTCATAAAATATAACACAACAATCCCTTCAAGCGTCTCGATAGAAAGGCTTTTTAGTGTAGCTAAAAATGTCTTTTCAGATAAACGATAATGCCTTAATGACCAAAATTTTGAAAATATTTTATTACTGAAATCTAATAATCAAATATTTTCAGTATATTAAAATCTAAAAAACATTATTTTAGTTATATTTGATAAATGTGATATCGAGTCAATAAATTTTTTAGCTTATTTCATGATTTTCACAATAGAATCCTAATTTAGGTTTATGCAAACCTTATATAAGAGTATAATAAGAATTGTATCTGTGTCTAGATACATTTTAAAAATTGTATCCGTATCTAGATAACTTTTTAGAAAATGTACCTGTATCTAAATAACTTTTTAGATGATATATCTGTATCTAGATAACTTTTTAGATGATATATCTGTATCTAGATCCATTTAAAAAGTATCTTTTAACAACTCTTCTAATAACAATCCAATCAAATTCGAAGATTACCGCGCCTTGGTCCTTACATCCTGTGTCTTAAACATTTTCATGGTTCTGTTAAAAAAACAGAATCCTCACAACGACACCCCATCTTTTCCCCAAATATATATGTGCATATAGACCCGGCAAAAACGTAAGAGCCGATATTAGCTGTAAAATTAATTATACAAAAATATAACCAATATATGCTACCCATTACTTCACTTTTATTGATTTTAAAAAGGCATTTGATAATGTCAATCATGGAGCTCTGTGGGAAACTTTGACAGGATGCGGTATCAAACCCAATATAATTTATATATTAAAAATTCCTACAGCAACTTATTTGCATGTTTTAAAATTCCTTGAGCAACTTATTTGTATGTTTTAAAATAAATAATTTAGGATAAAAAAAAGGAATAAAACAAGGTTGCATCTTATCGCCACTATTGCTTAACATCATAATAAATAAAGTCATAAGCGCTTGGGGCGGTTGATCTAATAAATATAGGATTAAACGATGTGCTACGTCTAGAAAATAAAATAATATCATATGCAGATGCAGATGACATAGTAGTGATATCCAAGAATATCGAAGAAACTAAGAACTTACTCTATCTCCTAGAAACCTTGAGCCATAGGGTAGAACTAGAAATAAATTTCAACAAAATTATTATTCTCAGCTTCCCATCGCGCCACCGTTTCCAAATTTTACGATTGGTACCAACGCAGTGAAAATAGTAGATAAAATAAGTACTTGGGGGGTACTCTCGATGAGGACAATTTCAAAGAGGAACTGAAAATAAAAATACAAAATGAGAGAGGTGCTTTTTAAATATATTAAACTATAGAAAACAAGGGAAATCTCAATATTTACCAGATAACCTATCTTTGACTTGACGATAATCCCCATATTAATCTATGGAGGGGACATATAGGAAATAAAAAAAACAGACGATTCCAATCCTTTATTAGTAACTGCCTTCGAATCCTCGACGGTATCTTTCACACAAGAATTATCATGACAATCTATGAAAAACTTACAATCATACGATCAATATAACACTTATAAAAAGCCGAATCCAACCTTGCCCATATCATCACGCATGTGATCCTATAAACCTCACTAGAGTATTGAAGAGTTAATATGGAAAATAATTTATTTTAAAATATTTTAATGATTTTTTAAAAAAAAAATTGATCAATTCTATAATAACACTCACAAAATTGTTATTAATGGATCAAATTTTAAAATAATTTTCGTAATAGATAGGAATATTATTAAATTAGAAATATCATGACGAAAAATAAAATAATAACTGAGATATAGCAGCTTAAAATTTGGTCCGTATTCACCTCACGAATGTTCTCGCGTTTTTTTTAATAATGAATGTTCTCAAGGGTTGCTTTCATTCATGCTATCTAAATTTCAAAAAATATGATAGTTTTTTTTTACAGGACAAGGTGTTTTTTTAAAAAAAATTAAAACTCAGAAATAAATTTTTAGTCTAAAAAAATTTCATAAAATGGTTTTTTTTAAACACATGTGCAAAAATGCCGTAATTCATGAATTTGATTTAATGAACTCGTCAGATTTACGAATGCCAAATATTTCAGGTAGTGTTGTTAAATGATTCGATTTGAGCCAATTCTAATAAAACGGTTATTTCAATATTTTACCCAGAAAAATATTACACGAGCTAGGGATTTTCGTTCAAAGACGACACAAAGATTTGGACATGTATTAACAAAATCTCGAGGCTTAGGCAAACATTTTTCCGGCTAACGTTCCTTAAAAAAGGCTCAAACCGAACTGTTTAAACAATATTATTTTGAATTTAAATTTTTTTATTGGGGTACACTTATATACTAGCTTAGTTAAGGTGGCTTCTATATGATAGTATTGGTTGGCTGAAGCATCTATTTCATAAGTAGAGGAAACTATGTCCTACAATCATCTTCCTTTGATCTGGAACATTTTTCACATTAATAATAAAATGATATGGTAAATAGGGAAGATAAAGGATATGACAAATTTTTTCAAAACCTCATAAATGGGGGATGAAAGTGTTTTCTTTTTGTGGCTCTTCTAGGTTTATGTATGATTTTGAAATATACCAGGGAAAGTCTACTAATGTCATAAAATCATGTTTAGGTATTAGTGAGGATATAGTTCTTCACTTGTCAGGAATAATATATTCAAATAACCCCATATTATATACGAAGCATATTCAGTTATTTGCAATAAATGTAATACTTATTTATGAAATTGTTATTTGTCATTTCATATGAGATAATACATTTTTAAAATGAACTTACATTTTTCCCATTGAATATTTTTTTTGAAAATTTGTTATTTGTGTCTATAATAATCATCTTCATTTAAAGAGGGGAAAAAAGACTGGCAGAAAAGAGTTAATTAAAATTTAATAAATTTTTGTTCAAATGTTGTTAAATTTTTATGAAAAGAATAAGTAATAATTAATTTATATTTTTCAAATTATAATAACAAATTGGCAGTATTATTAATCAAAATGTGATGTATTTAAACTAAATAGGAAGCATAAAAATGATTTGGTATTATAAATTTCAAAATTTACACAGCTTTAAAAAAAAAATTAATGGAAGAATTTGGATATCTCTCATAATTTTATATAATTACAAAAGTTTTGAAATTTTGAGGTTTTTAAAAAATATATTTAGGCCAGTTTTTGTGTGCCTAAATTATTAAGATCAGTGCTGGTCTAGTACTAGATCCAAAAAAAAATGATATATAAACAAATTGTAAGATTTTAATGAAAAATTTATTTATATTTCTTTATTTAATATTAATTATTTATTTTATTTTTAATTAATTATATATTGTGATTTCCATAAAATAAATTATGTATATAATATATAAATTCCCACATAAATTTAGTAAATTTTTATATCTATATGACTTATTTTTGCTAAGATTAAATTCTATATCTCTAGATAAATAATATACTAAGAGTAACCCAAATTAAGGACTAAACTCATTATTTATAAAATAATATTGGATAAAAATATTGATGTACATTTTTTTAAAGAATTCTGGTTAATAAAGAAATAGTAAATAATTGTCATATAAGATTACTTTTTTTATCAAATTTCTGCAATACAAAATCTTTTGCTATTATAAATCTACCTTTAAACTTTGTATATTCACAATTAACTACAATACTGTTCATAAATTTTTTAGAAACGATATATAAATATGAGAAATGAAAATATCAGCTGATATTCCCGCATAGATTTTTAAAAAATGTATGAGATTGCTAAAATTTTAAATTTATCCTTAGAAAATTAATACGAAACCATTTAAAATGTATGGGTATATTAATAATGAAACCGGAAAAAACGACACACATTTTGCTAATCTGGACATCAAAACTGCCTACCATTAATAAAAATCTCAGCAGTCTATGATTTGGGACTTTAAATTTGCAAAATAAAAAATTATTCAGTTTAGTTACTTCCATGCCTGGAGATAAAGATAGTTATGACATGTTGAAAAAGACATATTGAACTGGAACTCGGTCGACTCATTTTGGGATCAACCTTTCTTTGATATTGGAAACTCATTTTTCCTCAATGGTATCGTTTGTATATGTGATGAGAGACATTCAAAGGCTTATAATGGTAACTAATGAAGTATTTCTAAAGCAGAGGTTAAGTGGTTTCTTTTTTCAGTCTTCCCAAAACAGTTATATTTTTCATTGTATATCTCTTTCTTAATGATGCAAAACTTTTGCTTTTAGTCACACTATACATACCCTTATCTAGTATTAATACTTATGTCACTGTTTAGATAACATGTCAGAAATTTATTATATTTTTAGTAGATTTTACTTAGTTCTAATGGTTTTACATCAAGTATTTTTCTGACTTTTAGAGTGTTTTTATCAACCTTAAGTGGCTTTCAACTTATATCACAAGTATATCAGTCTGGTATTTACCTATTATTTTATTAGTTTACAATTATTTTTGCCCAAATACCTTTATGTATTTGTTATTTATATACACTATTACATTAATTGTAGCTCTCTGCTTTAACATATTTTATTAAAATCTTCCCTCAGATTCATAAATAAGCTCATCTTGTTTCAGTATATTTTATAATATTTATTATGTTTGACCTTTCTAATCAAGTTATATATATATTTATATATATATCTATCATATTACATATATTTAAAAAAAAAAAATTTCCAGTTTTTTTTTCCAGTTTAACATAATAAGTGTATCATGTTTTTGGCTTAATATTTTTATCAGTCTCAAGTATTTTTATTATTACATCAATTAGTACCTCTTTACTTTAGGATATTTTATTAAATTTTCCTTTAGACTCACAAATAAGTTCATCCTTGCTGAGTATATATTATAATATTTATTATGTTTTGACCTTTCAAAATTAAGTATATGTATATATGTTTATATTTTTTACATCATATATGTTTTACTTTTAGCTATTTTACAAGCTTTAAATGTATTATTTTCACATTGGTTAAATTAGCTGATTTTTTTTGACTCTTTATTAGCTTTAAAAATTTGCAGCCTTGTTTAACAATATATTTATTTTTAGCATACTACACCACATTAATTATATTTCTACATTATATATATGAATTTGGTTTCAAACATCATATGTACATTTTATTATATATATAAATTTTATATATTCTAATATATATATATTAGTTTGGATATATATTATATTGATATTTCTTTTAATTTTAGCTCATCGTGATAAGGTTTTTGTAAAATTGAAACTTTATTTATGTTTTTAGTCTAATTTTAACTTCTATTAGAGGCAACTTTACAATTTTATTAAAGGCCTCTTTATATATTTTGCTAACTTGTAATAAAGTTAATAAATTGGTAATATGTTGATTCATGTAATATATATAATTTCTTTCTCCTTTCTTATTGTCTTATTATGTTTCCTTTCTCTTATTTGCTCACGAAGTGCATATATTTTTTAGCTTTCCCCTTTTGTTTAATTTTGTTCCCTCTTGTTTCAGATTGTATTTCTAAGTAATCTTTCACACTTGTTTCTTAAAATTATTATAGATTTGTAGTTTTAATATCTTTCCTCTCATACAGAATGCTTTTGATAATTACAATCGCAGAAAGCTATTGTCTTAAATAGAAAGGTATAACAATTTATATAGTCTTGTTTCTCGCAGTATATATTTTTCCCCCTCATTATTTTATTCCTTTCCTAATGTTTTAGTCTTTAATAAATAATTATTTTATCATATTTCTTTTAATACTCAGCAAACATTTTCCTAAATTTATTTTAACTTAAATCGGTAATAATTTTTGAGTAGTCATAGTTTTTCTCGATACAAATATACTTATAGCAGTTTATAGTTGTAAAATTTTTTTCTCACCACATCAAATCTAACTTCGTGGTTTCGAGCGAGTACACAAATATGGAGGTAAACTTATGATAGATTATTATCTTTCAAATTTTATTTTTCGTAAAGTTTGCCTATAGCTACCAGTTATTTGGTTTTAATTTTTTATGTTCTCTATTTCTTCTTTTCTGAAGAAATGAATTATCCTTTGGTTAGAGTAATTAATAATTGTTTTACCTGTAAATCTCTTAAGATCAATGTGGTCTTTATCACAGAAGCATCATCTCTTAGGTGTCGTCATACCCGCCTTCTTATTTTATGTAATATTAATGATGAATTTTTTTAGAAGGGAGAACCCCTAGAAACCCTTATACATACCAGTTTCTGCTCAGCACATAAGCAATAGTTATATTACTTGCTTTATGGTTTTAGACACCTTTTCTCTATTTTTAGTACCATCAATATTATCGCCCCCTTTCATATATTCATATTGCACCTTTTTGTTTTCAAATAATACCTATATGGTTTTAGAAAGTTATAAGGGTCATTCTTCTTACACATGAATATTACCCCTCTACTTAGCATTTCATACATCAAATTATACCTTTAAGTTTCATATATCATATATGTTTATTTGAGTGGAGTTTAAGGTTTTCTTCCTATACATAATTATTATCTTATGCTTCTTCCATATAATATATTGCTTTAATTATGTTCCTTAGCCATTCATAATTTTATATCGCTTTCTATGGAAGATTTATTGATCATTTTCCTGTACATAAAAGTACCCTTCTATATTTATTTTGCATTTTAAGGAAGCGACAATAGGTCATATTCTTATACATATCTTGAAGGAAGAGACATAGATCATATTCCTATATATGAATACTACCCTTCTACTATTGATATATTGTTTAAAGCTAGCAGAAGGTTGATTAACGTCTCCACTCCTCCACTAGATCCATAAAGGAAGTGTGAGCTACTTATTTCATTATACATAAGGTTTTTACTAAATTTAAATGCAAAAATGAAAAGTAATGCACATCCAAAGAAATATATAAATCCCCTTCCTTTCCGTAAAGACCCTTTTATTATTAGTATACACTAGATAGATTATCATAATACGCTTTACATAGACATAAGGTTGAACACCATAATATGAAATTTCACAAAGTATACTTATAAATATTTTTCGAATTCGAATTATACTTTTATCGTGCTTTTATAAAGGATTTTTTAACTATTTTCTTTTAAAGTTGGTTTTAAACCAACATTAAATATAAGTTATACCTTTCTGATTTTTCAACATCATATATATTTTACTTCCATTTTTTACTTATCAAATAATTTTATTAATTGTGTTAGGCGCCGACTAGGCGATGATTATAGGAAATTTTTTCTCTCAAATAATATTATTTTTCATACCTTCGGCGCCAGAAATTTACATTTTCTTTATTTTATTATTATTATTTTCAATTCTTCTACACTCCCATTCGTTTTATGAAATCTTTAAGAGTTTCACACATCTTATTATTAATACTCTATACTTTATGCCATCACACTTTTAATGTTTGAATTTGAGTAGAGGGAATATTTCCCTTAAATTTGATTTATTAAATAGTTTATTAAAACATTGATGTGTGACAGTAGCTTTTATTAAAATTAAAAGGAAGTATTAGATGTAGGGAATCCCACCCACATATTCCTATGCCTTTCACTTATTTCTTTTCTACCTTTTCATATTATTATTTTAGTGCTTGATTATACTTAAATCTAATTTACTGTGGCTAATTTCTCTTTATCACTCCCAACACGATCTTATATTTTAATTCTAACAAACCTGTGTTCACGAGAGTATACCGTAAACTGGGGTAACATATTTTTTATATTTTAATTTGTGTTTTCATAATTTTCATTAGTTTCAAATTATACAATAAATTTTCTTGGTTTAAAATATACTAAGAGGATGATCATACTCTTTGTCCCCCTCAAATCACCCATTAGGTGTCTACACCTTTCCCCTGATCTTGCAGGATGAGCAGAAAACTTTTAGCCCCCACTTTTCGAATTATAATTAACCTTGGCTAGTAATGGTCAATCATGCATAAAATTAGTTTTTCCCTCTCATAATTTGGTATTACATCTTTCTTGCTCTACTTACTTGTTTTATTTATTGCTACCTTTGTACCTTTTTCTTTATTTCTGTTTCCTCTAGGAATATTTCACCGGCAAATCACTAAGGCATCCCTTTTATATAAATGAGTTAAAACCAATAAGTGCTTCTTAGATATATCAGGAGTAAAGGATTTAGATATTATAGACATATTTTGTCATTTTCTATAAGATCTGGTATCCCGACAATTACTTTATTCATTAATTGTTATTCTACAAAATTTAAATTCCATAGAAATTCAATTTTTTTGTTTTGTAGTTTTATTTATTTTAATTTTTATCTTACTGTTTACCCAAACACCCGGATTTAGAGAATTTTCTATTGAATTAAGGGAGTATAATTATAGCAGAACTATGCATAATCTTAAGGAACAGCTACTTATTTCTTCACTAAATATTAATGGCTTAAACTCGCTATTTTACTGAGATTAATGGCAGACGAGAAAATAGATATAATTGTTCTACAGGAGACCCATACCCGAGACAGCGTTACTGCAATCTTAATCACTTTATTTTATACTGCCCTGGTACTACTTCTAACAGTTGGTCAGGTGTCAGATTTTTGATAAACAAGAAAATATACAGCCATATAAATAAGTTTACACCTATTTCAGAGAGATGTTGGTAATTATATATCAACACAAATTTTAGGCCATCAATACTGGTGAATGTGTATGCAGCCCCAAACAGGAGAGATAGATTACTTTTTCTCGACGATCTGGAAAATATAATTAATGCTTTACCCATAGGATACAACATAATTTTGATGGGCGATCTAAATACCAGGATTGGTTCGGAGGAGATTTATAAAAGGAACAACATTATTGGAAATGCAGCCCTTGCTCAGCCTAATGGAGACGACAGTAGGAAACTACTTGAGTTGTGTGGTAGTAAAAATCTCAAAATTGAACATACTTTCTTCTATCATAGAGAGAATAATACACTCACCTTTAAAAGGGAAAATTACAAATCGCAAATAGATTTTTTTATTTTAAACGTCCACGGCTGGTTTGAAGATGTAATGGCCATGACGAGTGTTAATCTTTCTGACCATAAAATAATCAAAGCCAAGATCCTGATAAGGAACATATGGAGTACCTCAACTGGACTAAATAACAACTCTAACCAACTGGCAAATCTACTCAGAAAGCAAAATATCAATAATCTACAGGCACCAGAGATTAAAGAGCTCTTCGACCCAAGATTATCCAAAACTGTGGAAGAATGCTAGATGATTTTCAAAAATGACATTCACGAAGCTAGCGAGATTTTAGGAAGAAATAACTCTCTCGCGAGAAATGATTGGATATCCACGGCAACTATGGAAAAAATTGAGGAGCTGCGTTTAAATGGCCACTTTGATAGGGAACTTTGGAAGTCCATACAGAGATCTCTAAGAAGCGACAGAAGGATCTTCACTGTCAGGAAAGCTTGCGAAATCGATGCAGATATGAGAGGAAATAGGCTTTTTGACGCTTATAGCAAACTTAAATATTTTTGCAAATCAAAAACCTTCAAAAAACTTCCTACCATTCGTCTGGAAAATAACAGAATAATAATTGACCAGGATGATCAGTTGGTACTCTGGACTGATTATTACATGAGGATCTTTGAATCTAGGAGACCAATAAATACACCTCCGGAATTGCTACTCCTCAATCCATCCCACAATTCTCACTAATTGAGATCTCCACGGCACTTAAAAAACTTGGAAATCATAAAGCCCCTGGCCCAGATAATATTACTAGTGAACATCTCAAAGCGACAACAACTGCTGTACAACGCTTTTTGCAAATTATCTTCAATAAAATCTGGTCTTCAGGGTTGACACCTAAGGATTGGAATCTTTCCACCCTTTGCAACTTCCCCGAAATCTCAAATCTCACTAAATTCGGTGACTATAGGGTCATAGCACTCACCTCTACGGCATCTAAGGTCTTTATGGCCCTCCTCAAGATTCGTATTCTGCAAAAATAGCAAAACCTCTTTGCCAAATATATTTGCGCTTATCGCCCAGGCAAAAATATCATGGAGCCCTTTCTTGCTCTCAAAATTATCATCCAAAAATATGATAGGTATAAGCTACCCTTCTACTTCACCTTTATCGATTTTAAACAGGCGTTCGATAATTTTAACTATGATGCACTCTGGAAAACACTATCAGAAGTTGGAATTGACCCAAATATTATCAAGATATTACGACTCCACTACAATAATCTGTTTACCTCTTGCAAAGTAAACAATAAAGTTTCTCCACCATTTAGGATTAGGAAAGGAGTAAAACAAGGCTGCGCCCTTTCACCAGTCCTCTTTAACATAGTAATGAACAAAATTCTAAAAGACACATTGGGCGCGGCTAATTTGCTGAATTAACACATCAATGACTAATACGTTTCATCAAGAAAATAGAATTATTTCCTACGCTGATGATGTGGTAATCATTACAAAGGACCTTGAGGAAACCATGAATCTCATTCAATTGTTGAAACTGGTAAACTTGAAAGTTGGGTTAGAAATAAATTTTAAGAAAACTATGATTCTCTTACCAAGACACACGCCTCCTATAGAGAATATTGATATCGGATCGGAGACGATCAAAGTGGTTACTCAAATAAAATATCTTGGAATTACCTTAGATAATAGAGGGGGATGTAAAGAGGAACTCAGGTTAAGATTACAAAAAGCCAGGGCAGCTTTCTATAAGTATTTTAAGCTTTGGAAGACGAGAGAGATTCCTACCTTCACTAGACTACGCATCTTTAATTCAACGGTGATTCCTGTTTTATTATGTGGTTGTGAAACATGGGAAAACCTAAAGCAGACAACAGAAAATGCCAGACGTTTATTAACAAGTGCTTAAACATAATTAACGGCGTCTTCTACCCTAGACTCATAACGAACAAAACATTATGGAGACAATCGAAACACACTCCGTTCCACATCATACTCAAGAAAAAACGAATTCAATTTTTAGCCCACATTTTAAAACATCCTAACAGTAATCTGGTTCATGACGCTTTAACTTGGCTCTTTACCTGTAGAGGTAAATCATACAGTAGATACAAGACGTTATGGTTTCACCGCGTTTTGAAAGATGTTGCTGATCTGAATATAAACTGGAAACAGTTCGTTAGATTGAATAACAATAAAAATTCTATCAAAAAGTTTCTTTATCTTAAGATTAAATCTAGGTACCTAAGATGAAATTCCTCATCCGTTTCCAAACCTTTCTCCCCCTTTATTTACTTGAATACCTTTATAGTACAGGTTTCTTTTCTCTTATTTAATAATTACATTTTATTAAAAATGACTCGCTAAACATTAACTTAGCCTCCCCCTTTCCATTAATGATTAGATACAAATAGGATTATAGGTATGGGTGTGGGCTGTCTTTTTAGGGCCTTTCCCTCTTAATCAGCCCACACACGTTTAAATGATAGTCCTCGGACTATTGTGCGTGCAAGTACGTGCGGCTTGCCCACAAACGTGTAAAGGGCTTCTCATATTTTCTTCCCCGATAACTTTAATAATCCAATTAGATGGAAATGAGAAAAACCTAGCGTAGCTCTGTTATTCCCACAACGTTGAGAGGGCGAATGCGCTTTATCACGTATCACGTAATATGAAAAATTAAGATGTCTAAACCCATAACAAATTTCACGTCAATCATCATCAAATCAAAAAAATTATTTTGATTTAATTTCTAAGAAGTAAATATTTTTTATAATCTTTTGTTTAAGAATATCTATCTAATATTTTTGATATGTCAGGATTATTTATGATTATCTTCAAGTTAAGATTTTTAAACTAGAGAATAATAATAATTATGGATATTTATTTAATTTTCGTCATGATAATCTACAATTATTTCTGAGACAAGGTTCATTATTGTTGAAGTGATAGATTTGTTTTTTTTGTTCTTTTTATTATCCTTAAAATATTTTGTGCTAAAGCTTAAAATCTATATAATTTTGTTAATAACGTGATTTTATTATTTCAATTAACTTTTCTCTTTGTTAAATGATCGATTAACTTAACGATTTATGACATAAAATATAAGTACAGAAAACTTGCATAGAGTTGAAACAAAAATGTAATATTTCAAGTTTTAACATATTTATTTATATTTTTTGTGTAACTTTATTTTTATTTTAACTCGTATTTACATGATTCAAAATTAATAAAAGCATGAAACTATAATTTCTCGATAACACATATTTTCTAACATGGAGGCCAAGTTAACTGTGAAAAATTTAAAATGTGTCAACAAACCAATGACATTATATATCATTGCAACAAACATGGACGTTACAAACATTGACAGACAAATATGCATTTACCAAACTCGTATTCCTTGTATCAGGAAATTATTTAGGCACAGATTTATTAGAAAACTATCAAGCCATAGGGAGGTATTTTGTTAAGAGTAAACAAGTGTTGTATTTAATAAATAAGGAAAATAGGAACTGTTTCGTACCGAACTAAATTAATAGATACTGTGAGAGAAGGGTGCATATGTATTGTGGGATAATTCACAATATTGATAACATATTTTTTAACCTTACAGATAGTTATATTAATATAGATATGAAGTTTAGTCGATTATTTCGGTATTTGGATACGATAGTTCAAATTATTTGGCAGGGAGAAATGATAGAAAATGAGAGACAAAGTATAAGATAATTCGATGGGACTTAATTGACTATTATGTGAAGGGTAGAGAAATTAAAGCTATATTCGATGAGAGGGTAGAGATATTAGATTTATGGATTATCAATTGATATATAGAAACGGTGCTGGGATGGGATCGGATCACCCGAATAGGTCCATGATATAGTATTCGGGAGTACTATTATGGTGGGGTGTATTTGTACCAAATAACTAATGAAGAATATGACGGCCTTCGACAGTGAGAATATGTTGCCGGGAATCGAGACTATGTTGAATTGTTAAAAGGGTGCCATTATGGGAGCGAAATAAGGAGAAATGATTTTAGGGGCGAAATCGGGGAAAATTACTCTTTACGCAAAATAAGGGGGTATAATCTTATAAACAAAATAGGATGAAGAATTATAGAAAGGAACTAGAGGAGGGGGGAATAATTCTAGGAGTGAAATAGGGGGGGGGATAATTCTAGGAGTAAAATGGAGAGTATAATTTTAAAAGCAAAATGGGAGGTGGGGGGGGGGGTGGTTATACGAATAAAATAGAGGACAATGATTCCAGGAGAGAGATAGGGGGGGGGGGGGATTATAGGAGCGAAATAAGAGGGAATAATTCTAGGGGAGGAATAGATAAAAATAGTATAGGAAGGTCGACTTTTGAAGGATATCATGATGTTAAGACTAGAGAGTAGAAAGGAAGGAAGGGGAGGGGGCGTATTTGAAGGCAAATGGAATTTAAAGCAGGGTGCAAAAGAGAGTAGATTAATATAGAACTATTGGGAAGTTTTCGACGAAGATATGAAATGCCTGAAGTAGATTTTTAAAGGATGACTGTGTACTAAAGTTTTGTGCGTTACGACATGTACCCTTTGAATGGAGAAAGGAGAAATAAAATTGGATTAATGGGTACAGAATGACATTATATGTCCTGTGGAATACAGTAAATGGGTGACTTAAAATATATAAAATATTAAAATACATAAAATATTAAAATACATAAAATATTAAAATACATAAAATATTAAAATACATAAAATATTAAACTATATAAAATATTACCATAATTACTCATTTATATATCCAAAATTTTAATTTATAAATATCAAAACATCTTAACCAGTGACATCTTCTTAGCTTTCAAACATTCTTTGTATATGCTCACTGAACAATTTTTTTTATAATTCTATTGAGTAATATGTAGGTTTAATTTTATATTTAAAAATTAATAAGACTACATAAATTTTTATTAAATGAATACTATTTTAATTATTAGAATAGATTAATACATATAAATTATATTTTCACTATGTCAGCTTGCGATCAAATTTGTTAAAAATATATCAATATCACTCACTAATTTATCATTAACAGTTGAATCTTAATTGACTTTTATTATTTAAATTATTATATAACCCAGTGACGAAGCGTCCATATTGAAATTTTTCTTATAAAATTTTTAAATAAACTTAATATAATCTTTGTACTATGCTAAATAAACTAAATTGACTTCGTTAAAAAAAATATATAATTTTTATAACGTTAAAAAGATTAATATAATTTTTATAACGTTAAAAAGATTAATATAATTTTTATAACGTTAAAAAGATTAATATAATTTTTATAACGTTAAAAAGATTAATATAATTTTTATAACGTTAAAAAGATTAATATAATTTTTATAACGTTAAAAAGATTAATAGAATTTTTATAACGTTAAAAAATTAATATTATTTTTACAATATTAAGAAATACTATTATTTTTACTACGTTAAAAAAGTTACTATTATTTTTACTACTTTAAAAAATTTACTATTATTTTTCCTACGTTAAAAAAATATACACGAGGGAAGCAAATTTAATATTGCTTATTTTTTTTAATAAATAAAGAGAAAATCATGCCATGGTATTGTGTAATTTTACCATTAAAAAATAAGCATTGGGGAAGCAAATAAAAAGCTTATTTTTTTAATAAATAAAAGAGAAGGAAATTTTTTTATATAATATTATTTTCCTTACTTTTTAAAAATAATTTTTTCGTTTTTAAAGTCCTTAATTAATGGTTAATAATTGTAATTGTATTATTGAAAATTTATTAACATTATCATTTAGCTCAAGAAATTTTGATGCGAAAAAATTGATTATCGAAAAAGGAAGACCAAAATCAATTTTACAAAACTTAAAAAGAGAAATCAAAATTTGCATCCATAATTTTTTTATCGATAAATATGAAAAATATGAATCGCTCGCTGGATGTGAATTTTCTAATTCTCTATATTGTTGGTCATGACTATTATTCCCAAAGGAAAAATATGTTTGGAATGATAAAGGATTTTCGGATATGAATAATTTTTCAAAGGCAGTTAAACGGCAAAGAATCAACCGCTCTTGCAGTCGATGATTCAATTAAAAACATTTGGCCAAAATCGTATTGAAAATATGATAGATTCGATGCGCAATATCAATCAAACAGCATAATTCTAAAGTCAAATCAAATAGATAAATATTGAAAATATGGATCAACTCTATATGTTTTCTTGGAATTCAGGAGCTCGTATTCCGTGGTGATGATGAATCTTCTAATTCAGTAAATAGAGGAAATTATATTGAATTAATTTATTTGCTCGCGGAAGAAAATTTACTATTGAAACATTATTTAGAAATAGTGCAGTTTTTATTGGACTTCAAGCAATATTCAAAATGATTTGATTAATTCTATTTCATATGTCTTACACCAAAAAATATTAAATTCGTCGAATTGTTAGATATTAGTAAATTCCAAATAATCAAAATTTCCCAAAATATTTATTAGATAATTTAAACGACTATTCTCAATTTTTCGACTTGCACAAGCTGGAAACCGAATTAAAGGTAGTGTTTCCGGATGTTTAATTTAGAAAGAAAAAGAATGTTAATGAAATACTTAAATTTTTATATGCACCGATTTGATGAAAAGTATTAAAGAGTTTTATAAATTATGCAAATTTCTTAACTTTGGCTTCAACAACAGCAAGTGGAGAACGGAGTTTTTCATCTTTAAAAAGAATCAAATCTTATTGCATAAACAGGATGCGCCAAAATTGATTATCAAATCTATCTTTGATTTCGATTGAAAAAATATTATTAAAAATAAAATCTAGCGATAACTTTTATAATGCAGTACTTGATCATTTTACTCAAAAACAAAGACGAATACCACTTATTTATAAATTTTAATTATGGTTTGAGTTTGACTAAAATAAAAAAATATTTTTGATTGCTTGCATAATAGTAAACATGACGAAGAATCATAAGTTCTGATGGAATAAAATTAATGATTGTGAGAATCATAATTTATAAAGGAACAAATTGATGATAGACACAATTATGAGAATCATAATTTCTGATGGAATGAAATTAATGATAGACATAATTACGAGAATCATATTTTTAGATAGAATGAAATTGATGATAGACATAATTATGAGAATCATATTTTCAGATAGAATAAAATTGATGATAGACATAATTGATTTGTTTTTTAACAAGTCTGCGAGAGTTATG